CAAACCTTAGCAACTTTTGCCTTTTTAATGCCCTCCAAAGTCCTCTGAGCTGTCTCCCCTCAACACTTTCTATTTTTTTCTTCTCACACCTCTTTTAACTCTAAAGCTTGCAAAGCATGGTCATACAAGCAACCCTTGTTGGCTGCATAGGTAGCAATCATGCTGTAATGATTTATCTGTACTGCTGATTTAACTATTTCATGGATGGAAAGACACCTAAGCCTTCAGATAGTTAGTTCTGGCATCATGCTACAGCAACAGTGATTGAGCAATCAACCATGCTTGTCTCCAGAAAAGAGTGGTTTTCAAGGCTCAGACTATCCTGAAATAAAGTAAAAAAAAATTGCTTTTTTAACAGGTTTTAATGGCACAATGTATGATAAATTCCAGGGAACTGATGGAATTGCTACCATTTCTCAGTGCACAAAGTTATGCTTTAAAGACCATGTCTTATGGCAAAAATAAAGGGATTCCTTAACGAGAACTAGCTATTAATGCTTCTCAGGCCAACCTTAATTTAATCACAGGTGTTATATATTCATGTGCAAGTATAATGTACTAACCAAACAGGAGGAGGTTTAAGGGAATTAAATCAATTTCTCATAACCCTCAGAGGAAGTGGAACACCAGTTCCCTGAGTCTCCTTGGAAATCCCAGCTTTTGCAGAAAGAAGCTTCTTGTCCTAATGCAATTTTTTCCTTGTATTCATATTTCTTTGTGAAGATCTGTTTCACTTCCTTCATTCTCATTCTGACTCCTCCTTCAATCTCCCCATCTTTCAGAGCAAGAATTCTCTTAGCTCCCTGCCCTGCTCTCCACACTGGACTTTCTATCCCCATATTTCTGCTTTTCTTTCTGATCTTCTTTCTGATCAATACAGAGAAGTACAAATTAGTCCTACAAAGGAGATAAATATTAGGGGATAGGACTTTTCAAATGAGAAAGGTGAAGACACTCTAGAGGGACAAACATATTTTTGTCTTAAGCTGGTTATCCTCTTGCCAGTATTCTCTTAGATGACTCCTTTTTGCTTCAATATATCAAGTGCCAATAAATATCTTTTTGTTCTGGTGCTTTCTGGGTCAGTAGATTAATGAGCCTCCTGCTGCAGAGGCTATAATCTATCTGAACCAGGCAGTAGAGTGGCCATATATTAACAGTTAGATAGACCAATAGATAAATACTTATTTGCCAACAACTGCAGCAACCTCAGCTGCAATCAGACTCTTCTCCTGGCAGAGACATAGCTGGCATAGGTGCCACTGTGTAAATATCTCTCCATGCTGGGAGTGAAAATGAGCCTTTCTGCTTGGCTGCAATTGCAGAGGAACCAGGGGAATGAAGAATCTGGAGCAGGTCAGTGGCACCAGGCGTGCCCTGGACCAGCCACCAGCAGGTGGAACGCGTAGATGAGCTATGCCCCAACCTGCTCCATGCTCATCCCGTGTTTAGCCAACTTCTGAGCTGGCACAAGGATGCAAAGACAACTCATTCCTCCTGCAGGAGGTCTGTGAGGATCTGCCCTGATGGAGAGAGGAGAGCTAGTGAAGCTATGAACCCAGCACCCGAAATACTTCTCAGGAGTAGCTCTGCCTCTTTTGAGGACGCTGAATTTTCTTTGTGTAGGGGCAGTAGATTCAGATGAGTGCAGGTGTGGGGGTATCACATTAACAGAAGGATCATGCCAAATCACACTGGGGAACCTGCACTTTTCTGTTTGTGCTTCACACTCCTCTTGGCACTTACTTGCTGTCAGGAAGGTCAACAACTGTGTGGAAGAGGGACCCAATTACAGGCACGATTTCAGGCAAGCTGTTCTCCCTCCTCTCCTTCCGAGCAGGATGGGATGCAGACAGACTCCGTGCCTGGGCTTCTTCCAGGCTCACCAGTTTCATTGGCAGGGAGGCCGAGGGGAGGGTCAAACTTTTCACAACTGATGCACTCTCTGAAAAACAAGAAAATACATTCCAGCCTGGGGTGAGGAGAGATGAGAGCAAGAGCTTCATGACTTTATTTGACTGGAACATCTCCTGTGGAGGGGGGAAAGAAGTGGCACGTGCAGGGAGAAAGGCTTTTTGTTAGATAAGCCTTTCAGCTCCCCAGCAACCTTATCCATCTGAGAACATTCCCAGCAGGGGCTATGCTTGCCAGCCAAAGGCAGGATTGTGTGGATTTGCTTCCTCTGCTGCACACACTTCTGTGTGAAGGAGGTGTCTCTGAAAACCACCAGGATTCACACATTCCCTTTACTCCTCCCTCACTCCCTTCCTCCATCTTGCCCCCACCCTCCCCCACTTTTGGAGCAGTTCACTCCCTGATCCCAATTTGGTTTTTTCTCCCACTTCCACATCTTTCTCCTTGTCTTGTTGCAGGATGGGAGATTGTTCTAAAAACTAGCATTACTTTAACCTTTTAATCCATTTCAGTGACCAGAAAGTAGTCTCACTGATAACCCAAAGTGTCTGTTTGTGGGGGCAGGGGCAAAGCCATGTTAAGGTAAAGATGGGCAGAATGAGCTGACACAGGGCTGCAGAGCAGAAAGGTGGATATTGCCTGAGTACTGAAGGTATCAGAAGTCTTTTGAGTGTGTAAAATGGGAAGGTGCATATTTCTGCAATTACTGCAGTGAGGTCACTGTGGATCTCATGCCTTCTCACTTCCCGGTCTTTGCCAACAAAACCATCACTAAACAGCAAAATCAGCATCTCTGAAAACTATTGATGTCCCAGGAAAATAAAACACATCTCTTTTATAAAATGTCCTCAGGAACAAGATAGAAGTTTTTGGAGCACAAGATTAATTTTTTTCCCAGGAGTGCCTGGGAGTGTGACCTCTGACTTGGGTGGAAATTGTGGCTGCAGGGCAGGTATTGTTGCTATGAGGAATTGTAACTGGGGGAATCTGACAGAAGAGCTGAGACTGTGTCTGATGGACTTAGAGAGAAAGTTTAGACCAATATTGAGAATCAATCAGATGGTTCTTCCTTTTGGGGAAAGGGTTAAGCCACAGGAGATCGTGCAAAGGATAAGACATAAGGCAACCTGAGAAAACACTAAAGGAGGCTAGTATTGAAAAAGAAGATGTTGAAGATAGGGATGAAGAAGACAAGAGTAATGAGATATTGGGCTCAAGGTGTCTTTGGGGAAGTCTGTGGTGATAGCAAGGGTTTCTGTGCTTGTAATGTTAGTTGAAGGGAGCGCTGAACGACATAGCAAGTGACACGGGAAGTGGCTCAGGGAGGTTGCTACCAATGTTCTCTGCAGAGCCGGCCTTCCTGGTGTTGTTGAAGATCTGATCCACGTGGTTCAGGATGAACTCGATCACCAGCTGCTGCACGCGCACCTCCAGGAAAGCTGCATCCCCATTGCAGCCAACGGCCTCAATCTCCTTTGACCTGCATGAGCAAAGAGGGGCACCAGTGGTGAGCATTGCCACACACAGCCCCTGGCAAGGACAGACCAGATTTCTTCCTGCAAGCAAGGCAGCTGGGATGATTTCCCCACTCTTGCTGTACCTCTTCCTCTCCTTCCCTCACAGGCCCTCATCCTCTCTTTGTCTTTTCACTCTTTTAAAAATTATTTTCTTTGATTTCTTTGCCATCTCTGCTACTTCCTTTCCTGAATGTGTTATTTTCCCCATATGGCTTTTACATTTTCAGCAGGTAAAACTGTGACTCTCAAGTTCCATTCTTCTTCCTTTTTCCTATTTTAGCTATGTCAAGGCTGGGCCTGAAAAACAACACAGGAGCCTTCAAAGGCTGCTTCTAGATCCCTACTCAGTGCTTCAATGACCTCTCAGTGAAATCCCTTAGACCCTGCTCAGGTCTTCCCCATGCCAATTTCTTCAATACTTCACCATGTGCCCCAATAATCTCTTTTCTGCCCCCCCTGTGCTCCCACATTCTCAATCTTGCTCTCAGCAAAGGAATATTCCTTATCTTGACATGCCAAAGTGTTGCTGAAGAAATTATCTTTGGGCAAAGGATCCTTTGTAAAGTTAATGACTGGTGTGTTAGATAACAGCTTGGGGCATTGCCAAGAGGATAACCCTGTGAGGAGACTGCAGTTGCATTGCTTGCTCCTTTCTTTTCCTCCCTGGGACTTGTACTTATTAAAGATTGCAAAGGAAAAACAGACTTCATTTTTTTTTTTGACAAGGACAGATGTTAGAATGAAAATGTCTCAGTAGTAAAGTCCCAATTTATGATATTCAATAGAGTCAACATTTTATTCATTTTCAGAACCTGCTCTGGCATCTTTGGGATTCAGAAGGGTGAGATAACTCTTTAGAGCATGCTTTTCAGGCCTGTACCTCTCTAGCCAATGTTCTCTGCCAGCCCAGGGCTACCCTGATGGCTCTGCCATCGCCCCTCTCCTGCCCAGCTGCAGTCCTGCACTCTCCTTGCATAGTTCATTCCTCTAAATGCAGCGGTATTGGATGGATGGAAAGGGAATTTTGACAAGATACAAAATATTTAATTTTTTTTCCCATATGCTATTTTTCCTTGTTCTGCTTAGCTCTACAACATAGCAGCCAAACCCCTGCCTGCATCTAATCCAGGCTTCTTCACAGCAGAGTGCCAGGCACAACAAACATGAAAAACTAGCTGGTGGTCTTGAGATCTGACACTGGCTGCCGTTTCAAGCCCAGCAAGCTCATCTCAATTTTGCACAAGCAGATCTGGGAACAGGTCTCTAGTATTATTGCCCTGTTTTTCTCCCTTCTGATCCTTGCTGTCTCTCACTGCCCTGCTGCAGAAGCACTGGCACCATCAAAAATGTCATTAGCATTCCCAAGTGATGAGTTAAGTCCCCATTTCTAAATGTATGCTCAACTTGCAAATAACAACTTTTTTTTAATAAGAAACACACAAACCCACAAGCTTCCTTGGATGCTGGCAGTAAAACCTTAGATTATTCAACCTGGAAGAAAAGCTGTTTGCTCTGCTATGTTCTTCCCTTTAGTTGCTCAGCTTTTCCCCATATTTGCATTTCCCTCAGGTCATTGAGCTCAGATGCTGCCACTCCCCTTGGAACTCAGCACGGTGCTCTGGATTAGAGGAACCTCTACTGTACCTGAGGAGATTTGGAGCCCACACCAAGGCCAGGTTTCTGGTGTGCATGTTGGTCATGTTGCTGAAGGAGGCCAGGTGAGTCAGGTGCTTGATCAGGTATTCCAACGTCCTGCAGTGGTTTCACACAAAGAAAGAATAATGTGTCACATTGCCAGGGCCTGCCTGCTGGGACAGCGAGGCTCAGAGCCAGCCCTGTCCCCTCCCCAGGTGTCTGCAATGGCACCACAGAGCCCGTGGGGCAGAGCAGACACAGCAGCAGCATCTGCAGGGGATGGCAGTGGATAGCTGAACAGCTGAGCTCCAGCTGGGGTGGCAGGGTGGGGCATGAACCAAACCATCCTGAGCATGATGGGAGCAAAGAACACGGGAGATGGGTGGAAGAGGGAATGGGATGCTGCAAAGGCTGAGCTCTTAGCCCTTGCTCAAGCACCTCCAGCAAATCATCTTCTCCTTACCACACCCAGGACACTGCCCAAGGGTGCCACAGTGTTCATACTTGGGAAAGGGGGATGGTAAGAGTGCAGCAAGAACACCTTGCTCTGTCTCTAACAAAGGCTTGTTCAATGATATTTAAATGCCAGATAAATTGTTGCCAGATTTGGAAATGGTGAGTCAGCTTTTGGAAATTCATTTCTGGAAATGAATCCTAGAGCTATTTCAGGCACTATTCCCTGATGAGGTGAGGTCACCATGCTGATCCTCAGCACCTCTGTGGACACAATCTTACCTGTAATGTGATGGTGGCAGCTCCTGGATGACATTTTGAATTCGTGCCAGCTGCTCATCCTCGGGGAAGCGTGACACTGCTTCCTGCAGGGACACAAGGAAACAGTACACCCTGGCAATGGACTCAGGGGAAAAGGAAGAGGGATAAGAAGGGTCACACGAGACACCCTGTCTCAGAGGGAATGCTCTCTTGTTACCCTACAGAGCTATTGGAAGAAGAAGTTTCTTTGTGTCCCCAGCACAGCAGAGATTTCCTGCACTGTTGCTCCAAGTCTCAGCACACCATGCCCAGACATTCAGACATGGTGATCAGTATTTATGGGAGAGGGGCAATCAAGGACTTAGACCTTCAATTACAAATTACACGGGGGGTTTTGGCTTGTGTTGATTTGTTTTGCTTTGCTTTTCATGGGGTATTTTTTTGGTTCTTTTCACTTTTTTAAACTTGGTTAATGATGGATAAAATGAGAGTAGAAAGAGAGAAGGGAAAATAATGGAAAAAGCAAAAAGCAATGACACCCCCCAAAAATAACCTGTTAAAACATGTTTTTCAAGCTGTTTTATGAGAATACCTTGGATATACATGTTCTGTATTCTTCAAAATAAACAATATTTTGACTGTCATAACAACATAGCTGAAGGGATTATTTTTGTGGGTTTGCATCTTTCATGATGGAAGAAGCCATAGCAGAATCCCTGCCCAGCAGATTAATAAACTCTTATACTCAGGCTTAGACAGAATCAAAGTTATACATCTCAGTCTTGAGCAAATCTCTACAGACCAAGAGCTCAGAAAGCCATGAGAAGATTTTGTCAGCATTCCTGGGAGTTCACTGCATTGGCATTCATCTGTTCAGCCATTCCCTTTCAATATTTCTGCTGGGGGAGGACAAGCCACCACCAGTTCAAACAGTGCACGACTGTCTGGGAACCTCCTCCTACCCACCCGCCTGCCGCTGGCGCTTGGAGCGAGTTCAAAGGAAGATGCTGTGACCCACACAGCCAGCACAAGCTTTGCCTCCAGACAGATGTCAGAGCTGCCAGGGGAGGAAAGGAAGGAAGCAACCCTTCCCAAGCCATCCACCACTTAAACATCACGAACCTGAAATTACCACTGCTAGAGAAGCATCTTCCTGCAGCAGCCACTACAGCACCTTCTGTGATGATGCTACCACTGCTGGTTTTGTCACTGCCCTCCCCTGAGATCACTTCTCATCTGCAACCATCAGCTAACCAAACATTGCCAGTTTCCAGGCCAGAGAAGTGATGGCAGATAAAACAAGTGAGCTCACTAGTTAGGCGTATATGAGATGCACATGTATTTGGTTTGCCCAAATTAAAGGCAGGTTAACTCCTTTTAGTGATTTTACAAGTTTCTGTGTGTTGGAATGTTGGGGGACGCAAGACAGATGATGGACTTTGGACCTGGTTAACATAAGAGATTTGATAACAGGATGCCTTGGCAAAAGCAAACGGAACTTTGAAAATTAGACCTGGGTTGCAAGGAGATTAAATGAAACGAGTTTACCAGAAAAAGAAAATCCCATTAAACTCTGCAAGCTAGAGATGTTGCTATATGCATAAGTTTGTGTATGTGATTTTAACCTAATCATTGCAGTACACATTACTAGTCTCCCTGAAATAGTATATAAGCGTTTGTATCCCACAATAAAATCGGATTCTGATCACTGAGTCAGTCTCCCTGTCTCTCTCCATCGCTGACATCTATGGTGCCTTAAAAAAAAAGCCCAGAAATCTGAAACATAAGAGCTCTTGTAATCTTAATACAATGTTTCCAGCTGAATAGCCTTGTCCAAAAATGGAGACTGAGAGAAATAAAAACTTTAACTGGTGCACCTAAAGCATTAGATTTCAACTAGATTGTACACAATATTTTCTCCCCTGCTGCACATTTTCATTCCCATATTCAACCTTCCGGGTCTCAAAGACCTAATGATTAGACAGCAAGTGAATACCAGCTTCTCTGAGGTCATGACCTGTTCAGTCCTCCAGGCCACATGTCTGACCCACACGAGCTGAGGAGAGACCTGAGGAGCCCTGCAAAACTGCAGATTACAGCAGCAGAATACAAAATTCAAGGAAGAACCAATAATTCAATGTCTTGCACATCTGTTCATCATGGTATGAATTTATGCCATTTAAGATTTTTTTTAACTCCACTAGTGATTCTGGGAGTCCACAATTCATGAGCCCTTGTTAAGGAGTGGAATACAGTCCAGAGAGAGAAGGTAAACTTGGCCTCCTAGAGCTGGTCCCTCTATGCCCAGGCTAGAACAAGCCAAGCAAAGTCAATTTATCTTTATCTCAATTTATCAATTAAAGTCCCAAGAAACAACCATCCATCACTAGGATACAAGATGGCAATCACTTGGCAAGAATGTATAGCCAGTGAGGTCATGACCGGGATGTTACACCTGTGAACTTGACATAGTGATGACCAAGAGGACAACCCTTCCTAGTCATTAAGAATTTGACTTTCCTTAGACAGAAATCTCTGAATCACTGTGGTGACTCAGAGTGCAGCCTATCCCAGCTCAGAGCCAGCTCTGGCTCAGTCAGGCTGGGATCAGCATGTGTTCTTTATTCCTACCAGCACTCCTCTGCTGAGGTACAGCTGCCACTGTTCCCTGCTCAGACACCCCACGCACACACACGCTCCCAAGGGGGTTTTCTGCTCCTTGGGGAATTGGTCTTTCTTCTTTCTTTCCTCCTAGTATCTGACTGTGCTTCCTGTCAGCTGGGTTACCAATCATAAATCCTTTCTGAGCAGGCTTACATGAATAATGGATTTTGTGGCTAAGTGGAAAAACTGAAAAGCCAGAGATTTAATAAAAACAACGTTTCAGGTCAACCCAAAGTGATAACATTTTGGGAAGCCGGTATAAGATTTTAGAAAACAACTGTTCAAGGTTGACCAAAAGCATCACACTCAAACATTAGTTACAGAAATGATAATTAAAATTTGGAACTATTTAACCCTTTTCTGAAAGACATTTTCTATAAGTTAGATGTGTTGATGTAACATTGAAACATTTCCTTTAGATAGTATTTGTAAAAGAAACACTCAGACAGTTACAGAAATGTTTTCCCTTTTGTTTTTGAATAAAGCTATTTACCAAATGTATCTACTGAAAATCTGCAAGTCATCATCCCAAAACTTCACTTTTCAGCAAACATTCTTTCCTAAAAGAAGTTTCCATCTAAATCTTAATGTTTCCTTTACAGCATTTTTTCTTCCATAAATCAGTAGCGATAGCCAGGAAGACACCGGCCAAATAGCTCCAACAAGAATGAGACTCATCAGTTACAGTGAATGGCTGAATGATACCCTGCATTTTCAAGATCCTATTCATCCTGACTGTCTCCAGCAATCCTACCCCATATCCTCAAAACCCTTTTATCCTGAGGACACAGGTCAATTTTTCAAATCTGCTCAGGATTTTCCCTGAAGATTTGACTCTATATCACCTTGAAACAAAGACCAATCTTACTTAAAATTTGGAACAGCAAGACACCTAACATTACTGCACGGCTGTCAGGCAGCACAGCGAGCCATTCCCACCCCAAAATCCCCAGCAGAGCTGTGTTCCTAAGAGCTACCTGACTTCTTACAGCAAGTTCCAGATTGGCTGGTCCCATCTGGCTCTGCCCCACAGCAAGCACTGACACCTCTTTCCAAAACAGGCAACAGGGAGACTTTGGAGAGCATCTCCTTGTGAGGACCCCATGGATCTCTCCCAGTGCCCCCTGTGCCACAGCAGTGTCACTTGGAAGTGCTTGATTTGGGATAGAGGCAACTCAGACAGCAACACCTGATTTTGCAGAACTTCTTCTCTGCAACATCTGACATTTTTGGCAATGGCTGTCAACTCCTCCTCCTCCCAGCAAATGGGAAAGAGCAGGATGACAGAAATTCTTAACAAAGGACGGATGTTTCTAACTCTGAGAAAACAATCTTTCCCATCCCCTACACCAGTTATCTTAAGAAGTTGGTAAATTCTTTTAGCTGGAAGTGCATACCTTCAGCATGCAAGATTTCAGCCTCAATGATGGAATGTAAATTTGCTGGTGTCATAAAAAACTGAAAGTAGATTTAGAGCGCTAAGAAACACGCAGGCTTTAATAACAAGCATAGCTTGCTGTGCCATCTTTTAATAAAATATTATCTGTCATCAAAATTAGCCAAGTCTCTTAAAAATTCAGGCTTTGTGGTCTTATATTTCTGCTCCCCCGCAGTCTGCTCCTAAGCTCCAACTGTATCCACGTATAATCTGTGGCTGCTTTCCAGAACCAAGTAACTACTCTTTGAATTGCAATCTCTTTAAACAAAGTTAGAGATTTCTGCTTGGCCAGCTGCCACTTTCCTTTGCCATTTTTATTTATAATGTGATCATGATGGACCTGATATGCCGTATCTGGCATAACCAGTATCCTCATCTGCAGCTCTACAAACAGCATGAAAAGTGTGGCAGATGCAGAAAAGTGTATACTTTACACATGGGCTGGGCAACCAGTTTGTGCAGGTGTCAGGGGCAGTTGGAGGGACAGGGATGAGGAAACCACACCCCTGTGATTATGATCACAAGCCCAGGTGAGCCAGAAGATTCAGTGATGGACAGTAATGAGGAAAAGAAAGAGAATTAGTAGTGCTGGGAGGAGGCGCACAATGGGGAGAAAAAGAAGCAGCGGGGAAGGAACGCAGTGAAAAAATGAGCAAGATGAAGGGGAGGAAACAGCAGACAAACTGAGAGAAATAAACATGAAATGGTGAAAAGAAACAAGGACAGGGAAAGACAGCCAACATGAGATGAGAAGGGAAGAGCACTGAGAAGTGTTTACATGGATAGATGCACCAGAAGCCAGGACACTGGAGTGAATCCCAAACAGCTGTCATGGAGGAATCTGCAGCACATCCACACTGCTGGAGAAGAACAAGAACAGCCAAGGGTCTTACCGTGAATTTCTTGTAGAGCTCATAAGTGAGGAGAGGGTTGGGCAGCTCCCTGAAGTACAGCTTGCAGAGTGACCCCACACAGTGGATGTCCTGGAGGTAAACTTCCCTTGTCAAATCTGGGCATTGGTCAGAAACAAACTCTTGTCTGAAACAATATGGAAGCATAACAATATGGGTGAATAAGAGCTGTAGCAGGCCAGTACTCCACCCTAAGCACTCATTTACAGAGTAAATGAGAAAAAACAAATGGGAAAGCAGAGATGTCTCTTCAGGCTGCCCCAGATTGTGTCCCAAGTTCAGGCAGATGTTGAGGTTTCAATTAGTCTTCATTATCCCTAACGCAGGGAGTGGATCTCAAACTGATATAAGGAGATTGCTTTTTCCCAAAGTGAGAGAGAGCAACTCAGTATTTGCACTGAGACCCTCCTTGCTTTTCCCACTAATAGGTGCAGAGGGAGACATAGGTTTTTTGGGCTAATCCCTAAAATGCTGCCTTTCCCTGTTAGCAACTTCAAAGACAGTTTATCTTCTGCATCAGTGTGGACCTCTGTTGCCACAGTGTGTACCTGAGGGACTAACACCAAAAAGGTATGAGCAATGTCCCTAAATCCCTCTGACACTCCCAAACGTTGCCCTTACCTCAACTTCTGTATGTTGGATGTCACTCCTGAGAGCCGGTAGATCCCATCCACGATGCCATGAGTCTCAATGAACTCCGCACAGCTCTTCAGCACGTAGGGGACTACGAGAGGGAAACAAAGCAAGATGTCCAGTGAATACACACTGACAGCTCCCACAAGTCACCACAGAGGAGACAGTTCCATGAAAAAAACAGCAGAAGCTCTCTGTGGATGCAGGGCAGGGTACAGCAATGAAAGAAATACAGTGCAAATCAAAAATAGCCCCGTGGCAAGTGCAAAGTGGCCGTGAGGATATGCTGTGGTTGTGCCATACAATGCTTATTAACATGTGACAATGACTGACCCTGAAGTCACAGTAACATAGCAGAAAGAAAGGTAGGGTTTCCCTCTCTTCCTATTTCTTCCAAAATAAAATAAAATAAGCTCTTTCATTCTAATTGAAAGCATGTGGTAAAGCTTGAGGTCCTGAGAACCTCCACCCTCCTCAGTATAGAGCTCCAGCCTTGCTGAATTGTGCCAAAAGGTCTCATTGGCTTGGATAAAAATCAGAGAAGCATTCACACTTCCATATAAGCCTACATACCCACAGTTTAGTGCTCATAAATCCCACTGAGGGGGTATAAAGTTCAAATATTGACTAGATCTGCACACTGACAAAACCTGACATCGGCTTCAAAAGAGCTCCATCAGCATAACTAGACAAAGACTTAACCAGTCTTAAAGCTGAGAGGAGCCTGAGGCACAACATTTACATCCAGGCTTGGACCCAAAGTATATGTTTATTTTTTCCCCATTATATAGGTACAAGAGCCCCCCATTCTCTTGGTCAGATCAAGGCTCCCTGTCCCCAGTACTATAACAACCCAAGCTATAACAATAACAGTAAGAAAGCCCTTCCTTATTAGGTGCTAGAAACTACTGTGTATTTAATGCAATGCTTCACACAGCCATAGGCACAAGTCAGTAAATGCACAAGTCAAAAGTTCCCTGCTATAATGCTGACTCTGCTGCAGTGCACATTTCAAAAGCTGTATGGAGAGAAACCAGCTAAGCCATAGATTTGACTGTAAAGCCAGGCATAGCAATTACTGCATCTTTGTGACACCCTGGAGACAATGCCTCTGGCTGGACCTTCCCTGAGCCCTTCTGCTCAAAGTTCAGGACTATAACGACATATTAACGTGTGCTTTATC